ATCATGGCGTGATAATATATGTTCAGTAAAGAAATGTACGTGTGAAATGGAATTGACCAATGATTTCAATCATCGGATGATTGGAGCATCCGATCAATACAGCAAATAGAACTTACCCCTGAGAAACAGTGAGAATGATGTTTTGATCCAATTCTAAAAATTCCTGATTCTTTGTCAGCACGTTTATCCACCTCTGGCTATATTTATCGATGGAAAGTACAAATGTTTTGTAGATAGGAAATGCATTTCACATTAATGTCGTAGAAATGAGATGTTTCTTGCGAGCCACATGTTTCCTGTCATCAGACCTATAATCGAACAGAAGCTAACAAATTTGATGAAGACCACCAATGATGTTTTCAGGTTGTGTACATACCTCTGGGAACAAAGTATATGTTGCTAATTCCAATCAACTCTGTGACATGTGGTTTGTTGCTCGCTATTGTAATGCAGGAAGAATTTGGTATATGTGGGTCCCATCGCGCTCCTGGTGGTCACCTGGTGTCATTGGCTTGGAAATATTAGTCCAAGGCATCGAATTTTCCTTGTTGTAAAGGTAAGAATTTCCAAATTTTTCGTTTATCTGGGCTTATTCGTTTATCATCCTACTTCTTATTTTACAATTTCATCAAAGTCATTGGTAGCAAACTCTAACTCCATGTAACTGTCCAAGTGAAAGTCACCTCTTTTTGATTGTCCAGTCAGCATGAATCTAATTCATCTCACTGGGTCAGAAAGAAAAAGCTCCACATCGGTGTACAAGGAACGGATGCCCGGTAGGATGACAAAAGGTTCAAAGTTACTGGACCATATTGAGTATATAATCTATTTGCTGCAGTAACTCGTGATATAGTGTATCTTTTCTTTTGTTGAAAGAAATCAGAAGCCTTATTCGATAAATTTTCGAGAATGTTCAATTTGGAAAATGTTTTCTCAGAGCCGTCTTACTGGATTACTGAATAGAACAATGTGTGCAAGAGCCTGCTCGTTTCCCTACAGTCTGGCCGATACAAGTCATCATTTTTCGAATATAAAAAAATGTGAGATCCTGTCAAGTCTCTAATTTGATGTTATGAGTGAAATGCAAATATTCACCAGGACCGTGCTCACGCTGTTTAATCCTCATCCTTCCAAAAGAAATGGCTGGAGGTATGTAAGTAAGCATTGTCTGTGGTCCGAGATTAGTTCTCTTCACGCGTGCCAGATTTATCGGTTATAATTTCTAACGCTGTAACAACGTGCACTACGAGGGAGCCGCCAGCATATGTGAATACGCTCGCTCGGCTCGCAAACGACCGGATCTGAAAATAGAGTATTCCCTTGCAAAATGAGATGACAAATATTTGAGTTTGGAATTCTAGCTCGGAGGTGTTGGTGATCCCGTTACGAAGGATCCATGCCCGAGACTTGGGTCGGGGCACAGCAGGTACCAATATGGTATCGCAGATTTCAGATCTATAGGACACAAGTCTCACCATGTTCCACTTATGCTCGACTCGCAGACGAGGTTTTACGTCGGTGGGGGACCGATGGAACCCAGGGAAGGACAGAGACGTAATGGCTTTCGTTGCGGAGCCTGTAAATTCTTTCACAGGAAGTGCACGGACGATTGCCCATTTGCGCCATCTGTACTTTCCTGAAGAGTATCCTCTTCAAGTTTCTAAATGTGCACAGAGTCTTTGGGGGAAAAATATGTCAGCAAGATGTTGCGGGACTTGCCGGAGTCGAGCCTAGCGGATGCAGTAAGGTCGTTGTATTTCGAGGCTGAGGCAAGGATTAAGGATCAGGTTCACGGATGCTCCGGCGAACTTTACAGAATACAGAAGGATTTTGTAAAGGAGCTCCAAACAGAGATTTTGGAGGAGAAGATTGTCATGAGACCGAATTAGGGTGAGAGGTTTACCGCACACTTCCTGGACAGTATAGACTATATTCCTCTAGGAATTTGCTAGCGGCTGAATTATGCATGAGAATTTGAGTTTGTGAGTTGTTGGCTTATGCATGAAATGGCCAGGAGGATTACCGCAGCACGCATTTTTTTGTCTGTCTCATTGTGTCTGCAGATCACCATTGATGATATTCTTTTGTTCTTTCATACTTACAGCAACTGAGCGACTGAGATCAAACAAGGCTCAAGGTTGAGGTTCGTGTGATTGCAGTCCCTCTTAGTTTGATAGAACGAAAAGGCATTTTTTATCATTCTCGAAGTGTGCATGTGGTGATGATGTGGTGAAACTTAAAACTTAAAAAAGTTTTAAGTTTCACCACTACGCCGACAGCTATTGCTGTCGGCGTATAGCATCAAAAGCGCCAGTGAAATCGTCACCTTTTGCCGACGACAATATGTAACAACTGCGAGAAAAATCAGCAGCAGTTGCCGCTGCACACCGTCTACAAGAGCGACGGTGTGCAGAATATTAAGAATAGTAAACTCATACCGATATTGTCTCGCCTTCAGTGGATCTTTGAATCAAAATTAGAACGTGAAACTTGAATGAGTCTGCAGGCGATGAGAAGAACAGTATGAGAAAATTGCATCAAATCTATCGAGAAGAGATATGTTGTGATCCTAGTTCTCTAAGCAGCTTGCTTATATACTTGTGGTCCGGCGCGTTGAGTTAGACTTTTTGATATTTGAGCGTGGATTGTCGAGTAAGATGTACTGTTCGTTGACGAGGCAAAGCTGAGACTTCCAGGAAATTTAATGGAAAGTCTCCTGTATACAGAAGTAAACTGAGGAACGGCATCCTCAGTGTATAGTTGCAATCAAGCAAACAAGGTTTAAATTGGAGACCTTTCGAGTAGTACTTACGTTTCCCTTTGCACCTCAGTTTCCAGAAAACATATATGCAAAACTGAAATCCTGAAACGTTTTGAACTTGAAGCACATTGACTCTACTCAAGCTCCCGTGGAACAGTGTCTTGAGCTTTGCATGGCTCAGAGTGTGACGAAAAAAAGCTCAAGACACCGTTCCACGGGAGCTTGAGTAGAGTCAATGTGCTTCAAGTTCAGAACGTTTCAGGATTTCAGTTCTGCATATATGTTTTCTGGAAACTGAGGTGCAAAGGGAAACGTAAGTACTACTCGAAAGGTCTCCAATTTAAACCTTGTTTGCTTGATTGCAACTGTACACTGAGGATGCCGTTCCTCAGTTTACTTCTGTATACAGGAGATTTTTCATTAAATTTCCTGGAAGTCTCAGCTTTGCCTCGTCAACGAACAGTACATCTTACTCGACAATCCACGCTCAAATGTCGAAAAGTCTAACTCAACGCGCCGGACCACAAGTTTATAAGCAAGCTGCTTAGAGAACTAGGATCACAGCATATCTCTTCTTGATAGATTTGATGCAGTTTTCTCATACTGTTCTTCTCATCGCCTGTAGACTCATTCAAGTTTCACATTCCAATTTTGATTCAAAAGCCTGAGTAGCCGTTTCATCATTTTCCACACCAAACATAGCATATCGCCTCGGAGCTTTTTCCTTTTCAGTCTGTTTTTCAAGTACTAGATCTCAGCTTACAGGATGGCTACGATACCTCTCCAACTAGATGCACTATATGCAATAACACAGATCACCTGCGAAACTTCTCCAACTAGATAAGACTCACACTTAACTAGATACTTACAGAAGTTCCATGATTGCAGTGATGAAAACGCATGCTTATATCCGAGTGGTCATGGCTCAAGCTCTAGTGGTGGAAATTTTAGCCAGCTGTCATTGTTCTAACCCATGCAATATGCCTCGAAATATTCACTAAAATGTTTTTCAGTTTCCACCGGCTCAGGCTGCAACACAACAACATTATCATAGTCATAGTACCATTCGGGTATACAAATAAACTTTACCATAAACACAATATATGTCACCAGAATGATAAGAAATGAACCAAGTGATTACCCACCGGAATCTTGGAAACTTCAGAATCTTGAGGATATGGATATGTTTTTGAAAACAAAATCCTTGGAGATACCGAGAACAATGGCGTAATAACTGTGTCGGATTTGACTTCGTGGCCACGGGAGAACTTGGCAAATTCAACTCACCATTGGGACCAAAAATTTGTAAACCTTTCCGGTCGTAAGCCGCTGCAGCTTCCTCCTTGGTGTTGAAGGTTCCCAACCACACTCTACGTCCTTTCCCTGGATCCCGAATCTCAGCTACCCACTTGCCCCAAGTCCGCTGGCGCACTCCCTTATACTCGCAGGAAGAGTTTTTAGGGCCTCCCTTGCCCCTCGAAGAAACTTTGCTCCTCCTTTTGGGAACACTTGTCTCACCTTTGCATAACCTTTGGGTCATTCTGCATGTATCAATGTATGCAGCAAATTTGGGATTGATTTCAATGTTTCTCGCATACTTGTGTCGAATCTCTGTTAGTGAGCGATACTTATAGGTTCCAAGATCCACTGAAGGCGAGACAATATCGGTATGAGTTTACTATTCTTAATATTATGCACACCGTCGCCCTTGTAGACGGTGTGTAGCGGCAACTGCTGCTTATTTTTCTCGCAGTTGTTACATATTGTCGTCGGCAAAAGGTGACTATTTCACTGGCGCTTTTGATGCTATACGCCGACAGCAATAGCTGTCGGCGTAGTGGTGAGTGTGGTGAAACTTAAAACTTTTTTAAGTTTTAAGTTTCACCACATCATCACCACATGCACACTTCGAGAATGATCAAAAATGCCTTTTCGTTCTATCAGACTAAGAGGGACTGCGATCACACGAACCTCAACCTTGAGCCTCGTTTGATCTCAGTCGCTCAGTCGCTGTAAGTCTGAAAGAACAAAAGAATATCATCAATGGTGATCTGCAGACACGATGAGATAGACAAAAAAATTCACCGAGCTCGATGCGTGCTACGGTAATCCTCCTGGCCATTTCATGCATAAGCCAACAACTCACAAACTCAAATTCTCATGCATAATTCAGCAGCTAGCAAATTCCTAGAGGAATATAGTCTATACTGTCCAGGAAGTGTGCGGTAAACCTCTCACCCTAATTCGGTCTCATGACAATCTTCTCCTCCAAAATCTCTGCTTGGAGCTCCTTTACAAAATCCTTCTGTATTCTGTAAAGTTCGCCGGAGCATCCGTGAACCTGATCCTTAATCCTTGCCTCAGCCTCGAAATACAACGACCTTACTGCATCCGCTAGGCTCGACTCCGGCAAGTCCCGCAACATCTTGCTGACATATTTTTCCCCCAAAGACTCTGTGCACATTTAGAAACTTGAAGAGGATACTCTTCAGGAAAGTACAGATGGCGCAAATGGGCAATCGTCCGTGCACTTCCTGTGAAAGAATTTACAGGCTCCGCAACGAAAGCCATTACGTCTCTGTCCTTCCCTGGGGTCCATCGGTCCCCCACCGACGTAAAACCTCGTCTGCGAGTCGAGCATAAGTGGAACATGGTGAGACTTGTGTCCTATAGATCTGAAATCTGCGATACCATATTGGTACCTGCTGTGCCCCGACCCAAGTCTCGGGCATGGATCCTTCGTAACGGGATCACCAACACCTCCGAGCTAGAATTCCAAACTCAAATATTTGTCATCTCATTTTGCAAGGGAATACTCTATTTTCAGATCCGGTCGTTTGCGAGCCGAGCGAGCGTATTCACATATGCTGGCGGCTCCCTCGTAGTGCACGTTGTTACAGCGTTAGAAATTATAACCGATAAATCTGGCACGCGTGAAGAGAACTAATCTCGGACCACAGACAATGCTTACTTACATACCTCCAGCCATTTCTTTTGGAAGGATGAGGATTAAACAGCGTGAGCACGGTCCTGGTGAATATTTGCATTTCACTCATAACATCAAATTAGAGACTTGACAGGATCTCACATTTTTTTATATTCGAAAAATGATGACTTGTATCGGCCAGACTGTAGGGAAACGAGCAGGCTCTTGCACACATTGTTCTATTCAGTAATCCAGTAAGACGGCTCTGAGAAAACATTTTCCAAATTGAACATTCTCGAAAATTTATCGAATAAGGCTTCTGATTTCTTTCAACAAAAGAAAAGATACACTATATCACGAGTTACTGCAGCAAATAGATTATATACTCAATATGGTCCAGTAACTTTGAACCTTTTGTCATCCTACCGGGCATCCGTTCCTTGTACACCGATGTGGAGCTTTTTCTTTCTGACCCAGTGAGATGAATTAGATTCATGCTGACTGGACAATCAAAAAGAGGTGACTTTCACTTGGACAGTTACATGGAGTTAGAGTTTGCTACCAATGACTTTGATGAAATTGTAAAATAAGAAGTAGGATGATAAACGAATAAGCCCAGATAAACGAAAAATTTGGAAATTCTTACCTTTACAACAAGGAAAATTCGATGCCTTGGACTAATATTTCCAAGCCAATGACACCAGGTGACCACCAGGAGCGCGATGGGACCCACATATACCAAATTCTTCCTGCATTACAATAGCGAGCAACAAACCACATGTCACAGAGTTGATTGGAATTAGCAACATATACTTTGTTCCCAGAGGTATGTACACAACCTGAAAACATCATTGGTGGTCTTCATCAAATTTGTTAGCTTCTGTTCGATTATAGGTCTGATGACAGGAAACATGTGGCTCGCAAGAAACATCTCATTTCTACGACATTAATGTGAAATGCATTTCCTATCTACAAAACATTTGTACTTTCCATCGATAAATATAGCCAGAGGTGGATAAACGTGCTGACAAAGAATCAGGAATTTTTAGAATTGGATCAAAACATCATTCTCACTGTTTCTCAGGGGTAAGTTCTATTTGCTGTATTGATCGGATGCTCCAATCATCCGATGATTGAAATCATTGGTCAATTCCATTTCACACGTACATTTCTTTACTGAACATATATTATCACGCCATGATAGCATTCAGCCTATGAAAGACTTATATTATGAATGCTTTTCACGTAAAATGGCATTAGCTAAACTGGACCATGTTAGATAATAGCAGCCACCACTGTGGTCTCAATCAGATTTTCAGTTCTATAGGCAATGCACAATCAACAGGAAGCTTCAAAAAACATAAGTAAATGAATGAAACACGCAAACGGTCTCTAAATTAAGCGCATTATTCTCCCCATTCTGGATGTAGGAATGATCTCTGTCTTTTAACATGGAAATGGAGGCTTTTTTTCAAGCGCTTCTTCCTAGATAAGTGGAAATGAAAACATGACAATTATTTTGACTTCTATTGAATTTCTTTCTTCCACTGTTGTAAATTCTCAGGCAGTATACCTTTTGATAGTTTATTTCTTGCAGGTGTAGAGAATTGTGAACTTCCTGCAGTCACAATATTCGGATGTAAACAAATAACAATGCCTATTGATATTTGCAATGAAAACTTTGGTTCCTGCATCAATGATAAGTTGGAGGATGTCAGGCTTTTCTGACATCCTCCAACTTCAAATCTAGATAATATTTTTCCTTAACCTAGTAACTTCTTTGTTGACTTGAGGTGCAATTTGCTCTTTCAGTTATCACGACTCAAAATTATGCTAAAGATACAAGCTTCATCTCATACCTTTCTTTTCGAGACTGCAAGGACTGCAGTTATTTTGCAGCCAGGAATTTACTTCTATAGTAATAATGATGAAAATAACTGTCGTCTTTAACGGCATACTTTCACTATTCTGAGTTTCGGAAGCAAAATTTTCCTCTGAGAGTTTTCTTAAACTTCAGAATAAGCAACTTCATGGATGAAGGAAATAGAATATCTGGATGTTCAGTTGAAGTGAGTGGAATTGTAAAGAAACAGCAGTTTAGTCAACTTGCAACACACAAGGTTATATCACTATTTTGAATTTAGAAAGCAAATTTTTTTTTTCTGATAGCTTTCTGAAACTTCAGAATAAGCAGCTTCATGGATGAAGTAAATAGATTATCTGGATTTTCAGTTGAAGTGAGTGGAATTGTAGAAAAACTGCAGTTCAGTCAACTTGCAACACACAAGGCTATAACTGGGGTAGCAAACCAAAGCTGTCTTTGCCAACAAAGGTAGCCTTCTCGTGACGCTTAGATAAAAAATGTCATTTGGAAATTCCGGATACAATCATCAAAAAAATATGACCTTCCAAGTTAAGATGACTTGAGCAACACAATGTAGTCAGAACTTCTAGCAAATGAAGACACTGAATAGACCAGAACGTTCAATATTTTGCTTCACGAGACGACAAAATGCAGTTCCTACATGAAGGGGTTGAACTACGACCCCATGCAATCCGTGTCTCCGCGAATGGCACAGCAATTGTGCAGAACGACTAATTATCGGTGTGTCTTAAGTCAACCATCCACGAGACGAGGTGAGTTAAGCATGTAGGAGATTCACCTGACGGCTCTTTTGATGTAGAAGGTGTTCGGCGCATCCGTCTCCAGAAATAATAGTAGCCATGGCGAAGTAGAAGGCAACAGTCTGACACTCAAGTGCTCGTCAACGGCTGCGTAGTCTGTGCTTAACTGGGCACTCCCCAGTTGACATACCCCAGGGAAGCATGCAGCCATCCTCCGAAGGTGACGCTCGAGATCACAGCAGCTCCGACCAGCATTGCGTCGGGAGCATCCACGAACATCTCCCGGTCTCTGCACAGTCTCTGCACATGAACCTCCACCTCGTGCAGCAGCTCGAGCAGCATGTTGTGGTTTGCTGTCCTACTCGCTCACCATATCCTCGGCCGTGAATTGCAGGCCCGAAGAGCCGTCTTCATCGACAGCCGGTGCTTCGAGGCATGGATGAGGCATCTCACCACATCAGTGGCTCCGCTGTGAGCAGCCCAATGCAGGGGAGTGGCGAAGAACGTACGCCAATCGCTGCCCCTGCACTCTCATATCCCGCGAGCAGAGCAAGCAGTGCATCGATCTGATCACTCGGCGGCGAAAAGCAGCGCTGCCCACTCCTCCACGGCAGTCTTGGCAGTTTAGAGCTCGGTGTTGCCATTGCTGCCGTCGAGGAGCAGTTTTGCCACCTTGGCGTGCTGCAGATAGTGGATCGGGGAACACGCACGACCATGGAGGCCAGATGGAGGGCTGCGGATCCTTCGTCCGTCTTGGCAGTTTCCATCACGGCCAGACTTACGACATCCCGCAGGCAGTTCATGAGTTTCCACAGAGATCCATTTGTCCGAAGTAAGATCCTAAGGGAATGGTGCACTGAAGCTCACCATCTCGAGGTTCATCGAGAAGGTCAGTCTTGGCCTGTTTCAGCAGGCGATTCACCTTGAGCCAGTCGCCGGACGAAAGAACCGAGTATATGGATCTCAATTGAAATTCCTCCCTGTCCCAGTTCTTCAAGTCCATAACTGGAATGTGAGGCACCTTCGAGATGAACGGATGCAGATCCAGATCAGCGACTGCCTCTTGCAGGTTCATCGAGCTCAGTTTCAGCTAGTTCAGAGATCGAGCCGAGTCTTAACGCGTACGGAATGTAATAAACCTCCACGATCGGAACTCAAATCATCGTGTCGCTCCTCTGCATTTTTTCACCCTAGAAGCCCCAGTCTTGAAGGTAGTCCTCAGATACAACGACGGCTACTGAGACGCAGTTCCATGACGGTGAACATGCAGGACGAGGTCAGGCGCACATCAATCATGGTTCATGGAGACAGACATGAAGGTTGTAGCGGGCTGTGGATTGGGCCCGAATGAGCTCATGGTCACCACAACAATCCATGAAAATGCTGCGAGGGGTCGGTCTTCAGCTTCCGGTTTTCTTGCGGACTCCAAAATCCAGCCCTGCGTCGAAAGCACGTAGCACCGCAGGCACTCATCCGCACGATCCGTAGACAGTCCCTACAGTCTCCGCTTTCGCTGTCGAAGCAAGAACTAGGTTTGTGGAGGAGACGTAATGCAATGTCGGTGGGAACAAAGGTAGATCGCATCTTCCAGGCAACTGATACGTCATACTGGTTTTCATGTTGATGCCAAGCATCTGATCACGCAGGCTCGTCGCAACCGCTCCGAAGAGTGATCACTGGAGCGAATGCTGGCGCTTGTGCGCATAAACTATTCTGATCTCCGGTACACTAATCCTCAGTGATGCCGAGCAGGTCTTTGTGTAGTGAGACTAGCGGTTCGATTCGACCGCTCGTTCACAAGTTTGATGATGTTTTTGAATCCACAGCGGCATCCAAATCAGATTTGGGTCAATTCCATTGCAGTGCGGGGGCCGCTCAAGTGGGCACGAAAGTCTTACCAAATCCCAGAATCTGAGGTTCACTTTCTGCGGCTATGGAGCGTGAGACTAACGTGAGACCACCTAGCGAGCGGAATGAAGATCGTTGACACCGTCCCTGCCCATTTGAGCGGTGAATAAGCTAACGTCTTTCACAGAATTTCAATTCTGCGTGCTATGTCATGTGTTCACGGAAACGGCTCTCGCACACTCTAAAGCTGAAAGCCTTCTTCAGTTGAACGAGGAGATTCCTCGGAGGTTTTCGCAGATTTGATATGTGGGTGGTGACGGACTTGAACTGGTTGTTGAGGAAGGAAGCACAGAGGTCTTCTGCATTCAGGCTTCTTCAGGCGTTTCCGAACGCGACCATGGAGTCGGACTGCGATGAGAAGTTGAGCTCGTCGGAGCCTGCGAAACGGACATCAGCTTTCATGGGGAGGTCGTTTCCGGAGAAGCTTCTGCTCACTGTGCTGCGGAAGCTCCGCTCGAAAGCCTGAGGAGGTTCCGTTGCGTGTGTAGAGATTGGAACGATCTGTTCATGTCTCGGGAATTCTCTCCTTCGCTTTGCCAGAAACCTGGGAAGCTGGTTCCGCTGTATCCGGGTGATGGAGCTCTCAATCTTTACGACATCGTCAATCGTTGCTAGGTGCAGCGCGACCTCAAATTTGGAGAAGATCAGGGTTCGTTCATCGAAGATCAGCGGTATGAGCTGGTCGCATCAGGTGGGGGGCCTGCTGGTCTTTCTTGCCAAGCCCCAGCTCGACGCCAACTGGCGAGAGCGATTCCCAACATTCATCGTCTCTAACCCTTTGACACGACAGTACAACAGGTCGCCCATGGTTCACGTTCCCTCAACATTCCTGAGGTAGGACATCTGTTGTGTTGAATCGACGTTGATCTGGAAACAGGGGACTACACTTTCTTATTTCCGGATCCTTGTTCCATGGACGGTGGAGGGAAAACTACGTCTACGACTCCAAATTGCGCTCATGGAGTAGATCGCCCGTTGTCTGCCAAGAGGTCGGATACTTACAATGATCCTCTCATGGATTTCATTGGGTGGTGAGTCCATGGGAAAGGGGGCATATGGATTTGGCATACATTAACGACGTGAAGGTTGATGTTTGGAGCCATTTGGACTTTAGCATAGCGGATTTGTCGGCCAGTCTTTTCAAATTTATGGAGCACAATGGTGAAATTGTTGGACAGGGACAGGGCGATTATTCTCATGGGCTTCGTTTCTTCGAGATCGTGGATCCCAGACTGGAACCTCGCGAACCAGAGTGGTTTGATAACACGCGCCTGTACCTTAGAGAGAAGAAGGCGGAACCCATGCACTCGGTGGCTGAAATGCTCGCCCCCTTACTTGATCGATGGGCAGGTAAACTAGAAAAAGTAGTAACGACCCAAGTGGTGCGTGGGAGCACCACTTGGCACTTTAATTTTTCTTGTGCAAGAACATATGGAGGAAAATCCTGAGTTCAAAATTCCTGGTCGATTAAAGTTTGTTATATCTCGTCCGATACTGCGCTACACTGGTGTCTATAACTCTTGGACGTGGTTAAGCAACTGGAGGATTGTGAAAGAAGGTCATGATTCCCCGCCGCGTTATGGTTTATCGAGAGTCTGGACTTACCAACCCTCATTGGTCAGGCCTGGGTCGATCGACAGCAAGATCGAGCATCCACAAGTCGAATGTCCAAGAGCTTAACTTGTCGTAAGTCTTCGTTGACGCATAGAACTATGGAAGATGTTGGTGTAATGGCACAAAGCACCATGTGATGCTTATGTGACATTTTGATGACGGTGTTCTTGGAAAATCTGTAACAAAAAAGAGCTTGGTTAGTGTTTTGTCTCTGTGTAATTTGACAAAACATGTCGATTTCATCATATCGGTACAATCTACTTATGTAGATATCTTAAGCTCTGAAATATGCTTTTGGCTTGTTGGGATCCCACGAGTTTGTTACATTGTGCTGGACTTCCCAAACGGATTTAATCTCAATGTATTATAAATCCTTTGCAAATAAATCTCAATCTAAGATATCACATCTTGCTAAACAACTATATTTATCCGGGACTTGAAATTTTGCATCAAAATAGTCAATATTAGATTTATTTTTTCTACATAAGAGATGTTTAGCTTAGACAAAATTGATTAAATTTTTTCAAAATATTTAAATTAAAATTTTTTTAATTACTTAAATTCATATATTTCCTTAATAATCTTAGTTTTTTCATAATTTTTTATTTGAAATTTAATAATAAATAATCGAAAATTGTCACTTTCACATTGATTTGAATTTTGAAAGTACGAAATATTCATAGTGATAAACAAACATGTAAATAGTAGACAACCATTGAATACACATATAAATAATAGACAAACATTGAACATACACACATAACGTGATCCACACTTTTGAGTATGGTGGCCTGTAAAACCTGAGAATCATCAAGGAAATTCAAGCTAACAACCAACAAGATAGAGACGAGAGACAAGCGTACAACGTGATTCACCCTCAAATGCTTCATCCACATCGTAAAAGCATCGAGATAGTATACTGTGCATTCTGTCTGGTAATACACATACCTTGGATATATATATACCTAACATTGGCGATCAATCTTAACTATAAATCTCGATAAACTCTCTAATCTATATTATTATTGTCATAACAAAATAAAATAATGAAATATAGAAATAACTCAACAATCTCTCCTTTAACTTGTGTTAAATTATTTCAATAACCTCTAAAACTTATATTATTATTGTTATAACAAGATTAAATAATGAAATATAGAGATAACTCAACAATCTCCCATTAATTTATGCTAAGAAATATTAATAAACTCTTTAATCTATATTATTACTCTCATAACATGATAGAATAATAATATTCAGAGATAACTCAACAATCTCACATTAGCTCATGCTACAGATATTAATAACCTCTATAAGCTATATTATTACTCTCATAACAAAATAGAGTAATAATATATAGAGTTAACTCAATAATCTTCTCTTTAACTTGTGTTAAAGAATCTCATTAACCTCAGTTTACTCTCTAATCTATATTTTCAGTCTGTTTTTCAAGTACTAGATCTCAGCTTACAGAATGGCCTGCGATACTTATCCAACTAGATGAACTACATGCAATAACAGAGATGGTCTGCGAAACTTCTCCAACTAGATAAGACGCGCTTCTTTGTTCCTCAGGCGATTAAGAATATTTCTTGAACTTGCAATTTTAATCCAGAACGTGTCAGAAAATCTTCCCTTCCTATCAAGCAAAGCTGGTTGCTATGTTGTCAGCTAAAAAGATAGTGCACCTGACGAGACTTCACGCTTGTATGAAAACAGATGCCCGCAGAGCGAATCAAGCAGTGAAAATCCTCGACCAAGCTGCCCCAAATGTGAAAACACTGATTGCATGTAAGGGTCTCAGATTGTTTGGAGTAAAAAGTGCATTTCACAGTGTCTTGTACTGAGCATCAATGTACTTTCTGATTTTGGTAGATGTACTTCAGATTTTACTAACAGATTATCCATGGTCGTAGTGCGGAAAACCCATGCATATATTGTAGTGGTCATTAGCTATATACGCCAAATACATACTTCACGCAGTATGAAGTTCTGACTGCTGTTATGTTATAATCGGGATGTGTAAAAATGTAGATGTCCAGACGACAAGTGAGTATGAAGGAACTGAATCATGTGTCTCCATTATGAATCTGGCTAGAAATTGGCAAGATGAAAGAGGATGCAGAAAGAAACCTGGCTAAAACTTAGAGGATATATCATCCTGGAACATGGAATGTCTTAATTTGACTGATGTGTACTGTGGAAACCGGTTCTCACAGAGTTCAGGTATTTGTATCAACAAACCAGACAAAAGATATAAAGTAGTACCTAGCCTATGTAGTACTATGCTAGAATTAGATTAGTACCGTACAATTAGGAGTTAGGTGACCCGCGTAGTTTGTTGAGCTCAAATAGCTCGTTAAGGACGGTAGTAATATATAGGACTGCTCCGGCGGAAACGTCAAGAAGAGTGCCATCTGGGGGAGACAGCCAAACGAACTACTGGAGAATTATCAAAGGTAACTTCTCCAGTCAGCCTAATGAAAGAATCACCTCAGCGCCGAAGTCATCGCGTCAAGAAACTTAGTGAAACTTTGACAGGTGTAATTCAGCTTAATGACTATGATGTTTTTCTATAACTTAGTCCAGTAAGCGATTAAGGATGGGGTCAATGTTGCACCCGGCTACTAGCTAAGGTTAGGTAGAACTAGGATTATGTCCGATTGTTATTCTGGAAGTATAAAGAAGGACGTTTCAAGAGGTACCCGGTTACTTAGATTTGGAATTTTTGAATCTCGATAAAAATCATGGGCTCAAATTCGAGATCTATGGAATTTTCCAGCGAGACTTTGCGAATAAGTATAGGTAGGAAATTAGTATTTAGAGCCAAGCGGCTTAGTAGTTTAGTATCTTGTTTTCAGTGTGGAGTTTGTGTACTTTCCAACAAGCAAAGAAATGTGGTTCTTTTGTGACATAATGCAAGGCATGAGTCTAGCGGCAAGGTCCATTATGTTGGAATGTTGTATTTCTTCTACTTTGTTTATTCTCTTGTAGATAATTCCGAAAGAGAGCCGGTTGGGACCGATAGCAAAAGATCATTGGAGCTACTGGAGGCAAATGCCGGCGGGAGAACCTGGTTCGATCCAAAAATTCAAAGTAGCATGGAGGAAAGGAGATGCATTGCGAGTTATTCCTGGTGGTCTTTAGGGCACGGTTGGTCATGTTTCAGATTATCAGCTAAGGCCAGAATTCCTCCATCAAAGGGGAAAAAGCATGTGAGTATATCTAGAGGTTAATCCTGTAAAGATTCCCCGGGAATCAATTAGTAAATTAAGTACAG